TATTTATTTATTTCAAATAGTTATTGTACAAAAAATGTTACAAAACTGGAATATTTTCAAATAAACGATACAAAGTTCATAGTTTGAATGACAAATACAAGTCAACTTTACACGTTTGTAAAAAATTTTCTATGTGCGCAATGGTTTTTGTTGTTTTATCATGTAACGAATCCGAAAATGTTGATTTTATAAATTTTTATTGAAATAAGCAGAACAGAAGTTTAAACAGATTTTTCAGACGAAAATTCAAAAAACACACCTTCATTTATTCATCATACCATTTATACATTTCAATGTGGATTCAATTAACAGAATTGGTGCAAAGATTTATCTTAAACACAGCAAACACTCTACGGTTCTTTTTGAAATTTTATATAAAGTAAAGATAGCTGATTTCATAAACGAATTACAATAATTTAAATTCTAGTATATATATACATATATATATATATATATGTATATATATATGTATATATATATATATATATATATTGTTAAAAACAGTCTGTTACCAATATATATATATATATATATATATATATATATATATATATATATATATATCAGAACAAAATAGACGTTTGAATGGCAAATGACTGACTGAAGTTAATTCAATGTTGAGCCAAATCATAACCGATCGGCCGGGACATTGTGACAACTTGGTAAGATTAACATCGAACTAGTTATTACCGCCGACCTTGTTACGAGGCTCTTAATCTGAGCAGTATCATCAATGCTCGGCTGTCTGAATCAATCAAATAGATTGAGGATGAGCAGAAAATCTTTCCATGAGATGACGGTCCCAGAGTGTCTGATTCACATGTTTGTGCATGCGCGGTAAGAGGACTTTAATGGTTTGTTATGTGGAATAATTGCTTGATTACTTACCCTGCTTCGGTTAAATTAAGATCATACAGTCCAGCTAGTAGAAAGAGGGGAGCAGCAAAGTTTGACCATGTTTTGAAAATATTGTTGGTCGAGAATTGACAAAAATCATCTAAAAATTTGTAATGTTTTTGTATAAGATCATGAACGAATTTGCAACGAGGTATTCATTTAATAAACGCATGTAAACAGCATACTAATGATAATAAATGTTTTCTTAACATCATCTTTTTATCAACAACGCGAAATTGGTAACTGGCAGGATGAAGTTTGATCACATGACGCCCATCCTGGAGGAACTACACTGATTGACAATAGATAAAAGAGTAACCTTCAAAATCGCTGTGCTTGTGTTTAAATCACTGAATAGGATGTCACCAGAATATCTCGTAAACAAATTTTCATAAAAAATGTATACGTCGTCTCATCTACGGTCAGATGATATGAATTTGTTGACAATACCGGTTTCACACTTGCTGATTGGTGCACGGAGTATCTCTGTTGCAGGTCCGACCGTGTGGAACAACTTCCACAGTCTTTGTGATCATCCGGATTGTCTCTTAGAACATTTAAAAAAGAGCTAAAAACATATCTGTTCACTGTTAAACTTTGATAATTTTAGTAAAGTTTTTTATTTTTTTTTCTTATTAATAGTATTGTAGACTTCTATGTTTATATGATTACGATAGCGCTTTTGAGAACATTTAATTGACGCTATATAAGTTTCCTATTGATTGATTGATTTATATATATATATATATATATATATATAATTATACAAACTACAAACAATTACATAAAAATATCCTCTATCAGCTTGTACGTGTGCTCTATAAATAATATCACAAACGTACATCAATATTGTGAATGCCATTGTTTACATATGCAGCATACATAAAACACACACACACACATACACACACATATACGTAGAGCAGCACCTCAGAACAGATAGGCATACTGAACGGTATACACGCACATAGCTAATAATAAAGAAATTAGTCACATTCACGTGTACATTAGTATACATAGGATAAATAATAATATACATCTTCATACCTTCATAATGCTTTCATACGATTTTAATTGTATCGCAATTCAGCATATAAGCACACAAGTCGTGAGACGTGTGAGCTTCTGGTAGGCCATTTGAAGAAAGCTATATAAATATTGAAAATTTTGAACGAGGCACATATAACGTGTATTCGTAGTTTTTTGGTGCTTGTGTGTTAAAATTTAATGAATCACGAATTTTGTATGAAAGAGTAAATATGAAGTTTTGGTGAATATTTTAGGCTGCGGAATATTTATTATAGTAACAAGTGCAATTCATTAGGCCGATGATAATTTTAATCATAATGTTTAGGACATGAATAATTTTTGTTCTGTAAAAAAAAAATTATTTGGCATATAAACATGTAGATAACTTAACATTTAAATATTGTTAAATTTTGCATATATAATGTATATATATATATATATATTAGTAATTTATATACTTACTAACGTCGGGCACAAATTAACGTTATAAGTGTGCGTGTCATACAAATATATTGAATTGTAACAAGTGGAGTACATGTTATACAATCCTATCGTACGCACAAATTTATTTTATGCTTAAACGCTCTTTTTTAATGTAAATTCATTCAGCGTACAAAATGTGTTGTTGTTGTTCACAGTTGTACATTTGCCTTCATATAAAAGGCTGGGTTTTTTAACAAGGCGAATAATAATGTATATTACATTAGTGGATTAAGTATGTGCTGGACTGTTACTCTACCGTGTACCCACGCTCTTGTGTTCAATCATTTATTATGTACTAATTAAAAATAAGTAAGTTTTGAATCCATGAATAATTGCGTTAAATTCTACATTCGTATTCGTTGTCTATTTATTATATATACTTCCTTTAATAATTAATGAAAGTAAAACAGGAATAATAATCAAATCAAAGTAAGCGTTGCTGTTAAAATTTAAATTAACCACCCTCATCAGTGTTTAGTTTGGATACGACGATGCACAAATGGATGTACGTACATGCGCATGTACGCGAATGACGTTGTGCGCGAATGACGTTGTGAATAGTACCTACATGCATTTTCAGCGTCACATTTCTATATTATATTAATAATAAATTATAAATAATCCTGACGGATTTCGCCCACTGTTTTCTCCATCCAAGTACTTCCAACTAATGAGGGCGAACGTAAGTAAACTTGGAGTAGTTTTTATTGTATTTGAAATTAATTTTAATGTTAAAATTTTGTCAAAATGTTAAAAAAATTGTATCATTATTTTTTAACTTTTTCTCTTCCTTACCGAAATACTACGTGTTGTAAATGTTACGAATTTATATTTTGTTAACACACAGTTTGTTAATATTAATTTTTAAACTAAATGAATAAAAAAAGCATTTATGATTGATATAAAATTTTATTTGAAAATAGACTTCATTTTTTATATTTTATCATCATCTAACAAACACGTGGAAGGTCCAAATGTCAAAAAATAATTGATCATTAGCCTTTAGTTCTTATTGTTGTTATTTCTATTCTATTACTATTACTTATTACATCACTTTTAAAATAACTCAATTCAGGACACCTGTCTTACTCTGTTTCCTGTTATGAGCTACATGCCACTGATTTTATCATTATATGTTATGTATGGGTGCTTGTGTGTGTTGTGTGTGTGTGTGTGTGTGTGTGTGTGTGTGTGTGTACAGAGTTTGTACGTACGTTTGTACATATGTGCGTGTGTGCGTGCATACACGGTTTGAAATGACAGGATTGTTCAGTCGCGTGATAACAAATATTTCAAGTAGGCATGTGCGTTTTTCAATAATAAAGATGGCCAAGTAAGATTAATGAAAAAAATCGATAACATGCGAAGCACAACGCACGCAGACACATGTATGCGAAATAGTTCAATTTATCCCTCTTATTCATATCTTCCTATTCAGTTATTCCAATATTTAGTAAGCTAATTGAAACCGTGAAATATGTATAAATTTAGCGCCGTGAACATTGGCGACGAACACTAAAATAGCAAAAAATTTCTTGCCAGATGCATGCATGCAATGTACTGTACACCTTTACTATCTTTTTTTTCTATTATTCTTTAAAAATCAGGATCTGACAGACGCAGAAACTGTAACAACATGCAAGGAAGTAGTACAAAATTAAAAAAATAAGTGTGTAAATAAATACAAAAAGTGAGAAAGAAAAATGTTAAAACATAAAAATGAAATAAGTTAGAACAAAATAAATAATAATAAAATAAATAAAAGAAAAGTAATTGACAATGAAATATAAAATGAAGTAACGGCAAATTAATAGAATAGATGATGACTTACGAGTTAGTGAGGAGGTGATCGATAAATAAAATATTGGAATGGGATTTGGTGAATAAATGTTTAGACTTGTTTATTGTTTACAGGCGAGCGTTGGAGTTCGAGGTTGAAGGAGTGGTAGGAAGGGGTCGTCCGCGATTGGGATGGAGAGAGCAGGTGGAGAAGGACAGGGTGAAAGCGGGGTTGCGTGATACTGAGGCGAGTGACAGATGTGGATGGCGTCGAGGGGTATTTCGGTTTCATCATAGGTAGCCAAACGGCAACCCCCGATCTCGGGGAAAATGCCGTCTAAACGTGTGTTGTTGTTGTTGTTGTATTGTTTACATATGTTTATATGTACTTGTCCTCATGTTTGAGATGAATAGGATGAAAATGCTGACATATTTGCTTTAAGATATAAAATTGTTTACTATGAACTTAGAGTTATTTCAGAACTCTTAAATGATTTTTAACTTACGTAATTAAGAATGACTTGACAAACATAATATTTTAAAATATTTTATGAGCTAATTAATTGCGTTAATGGGGTCTTGATAATCTTGATAAGACTGATTTTACGGCACAGCAGATATGATGCAGCAGGTAAACAATAAAACCATTTAGAGATAGTAGTAATAGTTTCTCATATGTTTCTAACACAAAACTATTCAACCATATCGCGATTTGTATCAGCTGTAATTGTTTAAATACGTTTAGCTTGACATTCTTGACATATTTTATTTGTTCATTTTCGTTAAAATGCAGATTTAGATGAATCATAAAAATGAATAAAAAATCGATCAGTAAGAACTTGCACTCTTCCATTGAATCAAAGCCAGATGAAACTTTTATAAGCGAAGACGACGTAACAACGCACAATCAAAAATTAAAATCCAAAACTTTTTTGAAAAACTCAGATAAATTGGAAACGTTACCGCAGAGTACTGTTTTAAACGAAAAAGGTTCCCTTGAAAGATTTGAAAGTCAGACAAATGATAAGAAAAAAAAAATCATTTACAGGTCAGAAAAAGTGATGGAAGAGATGAAAAAAGCTGCCCAATTAAATGCTCAAGTGAAAGTAAACGTAAGATTTCTAAATGAAAGTCAAATCAGTGGTGGTTTTTTGTCAAACGATGACGGCGCCAAAAATTTTACGAATGAGCAGTCGGATAGACACGATAATTTTTTATCTGATGGTTTCTCAAATTCCTTCAGTCGAAATGCAAAAAATGAATCTGGAAGCAAAAATTTTACCATTCCTGATTGCTCCAAACGTGAACAACGTCAACAAACACAAGGACAAGCGGGAGATTGCGGACCCGGTAGATCTGTGTTCGCGAGTTTGTACAAAGACCTGGTTTCTGGTGTGAAAGTTGAAGACACGCATCTTAGTAGCAATTGTTCAGAAAATAACTCCCGTTTGGAACGAGTTGATTCGAGCAACACTCGCTTTTGTATTGTAGAAAAAAATTGTTCAGAAAAAGCGAATGAACCGAAAAATTCAAATAATTTAGAGACAAATCATATTACCGAACATAAATTCACTATTACTTTAAAAAATGTAGACAATGGCTGTGCCCATTCTGTAAAAAACGATTTTGTAAAATCAAAAAAACCGAGAAAAACTTCTGAATCATACAGACAAATTATCAGAAAGCTTAAATTAAACAAATTGCACAAATCTAAAAAAGAATTGAAAAAATGTAATGCAAATATTTTAAAAGTGTTTGCTGACAAAAATTACATCCAACAAAAACATGTGAAATCTGAAATTAGTGAAAACTTGAAATTTGCCTTGAAATGTAGCATAGACAATGATAGATGGAAAAAAACCATTGACACATCCTTTGAAAAATCAACTAATAAATCATTTCACAATATATCTGATCAGACGTTAAAAGCTGATATTTGTAATTCCAATTGTCAGTCAAAATTTAAAAAGAAAAAGTTTCTATCTAACACCAGATCTCCAGAGCACTCTCGAAACAAAGATGGAGGTTATGATAGTGATAAAACAGATATTTGTGACTACAACGATGAGAACAATAATAGAAACGATGAACTCCATCACACTAATTCTTTAAGCAATTTGAAAAAGTTGAATTGTTTGGCAGTTTTAAACTTAATGCCTTCACAAGATATACACAATTCAAAACTTGCATTACAGGATGTCCATTCCAAGTTGCTGAATTCATATAAATCAATTCTTACTGGAAACAAATGGAATATATTTGATGATAATTTGAAAATTTATGGGTTAAATGAGTACGATAAATACTGTAAATGTGATTTCACTGAATTTTCCCAAAATGAAGAAACTGAAACTTTGCAGAGACAAAAAATTAAGAGCAGTATTGAGGACAAAGATTCAAATGGTGCTGCTGGCAATACGAGATGGTTGAGGCAACAAAAAGCATATTACAAGTTCTATGAAACAGACGAAATAGAGCAGTATCAAAAATATTCAATGTTGAAAATGAAAAAGTTGAAGGCAGAAAAAAAGATGCAAGGGCAGGAAACCATTGATAAAAAGTTCGATAAAGATCCATTGAAGTATGAGAAAGACCCACTTGGCATTGAAGACCCAGGGATGAAAGATACTGATGAGTTAACTAATGGAAATCTTGTTATAAATATTATTACAAGTCATAGTAATGATCTCTGTGACGATGATGATGATGATTATGAAGGAAATCTTGTGATGGATGAAAAATCGTTTGAGTCAAATTCGGATACCAGTGTTGTATCCAGTCAAAATAAGCAGAAAACGTTGTTAACCAAAAAAGTTAAGAGAAAATTAGACCATAATAAAGGTTTGTAACTAATCATATTTTACACTTTTTTCTAGTGACTAACTTTTTGCTAAAAAGTTGATGTTAATTTCATTGAAGTACTTGAGTTGTATTGACTGTAATAAGTTCAAAGTCATCTTTGTATTTCTTTTTTGAAATGGCTGATTTTTTTATTAAAAACAACAAAAATTATTCAGCTTTTTTAATCAAAGAATGATATGAAATTTGTCTGTGGAAAACATTAATGAAGTTTTTCAATCAAAAGTTTAAACGTGCTGTTATACATATCAATTTATCAAGTCTTATCCCAATCTTATCAATATTTATGATGTTGTTTTTTTTTATTAATATATTTTGATTTAATATATTAATTAATTAAGCACTTGATTCAATTTTTTTTATTTCAAAGAACTTTTATTTTCAGATGAAAAAACTAAAGTTAAATACAAGAAAAGGAAAAATTCAAAAAAGAATGATATCGAAGTGGGTGAAACAAGTTCTAATGAAACAAATGATGAACGGTACCAAGTCTCTCATACTTCGGGCTCTAATAAAATTGAAAATAAATCTGAAAGTTTTATTTTATCAAGAGAACTGGGTCCAAATTTTAACTGGCTTGAAAACAAAATTCAAAAAAATTATAAAACAGATGATGTGTTGTGTGATGTTAATCCAACTGATAGAAAACTGCATAAAATACACAAGAAGAAGAATATGTTGGATCAAAATGATGATTGTTTGAAAAACAATAAAAGTGAACCATCTAATAGCCATGTGAATAGTTCAATTGATGATTATAATAAGAAAACCTCTGATGCAAATTCGAATAAAGGTGGATCATCAAAATTTAATGCTTCTACTAATAATATTTGTCTTTCAAATTCAAATAATTTAAAAGAAACTACATCAGGTGATGTTAAACTTTCTAAAAGTTTGGATAGACAACCAACATCTGCACATTATCAAACCAATACGCATGATCATGACAAAAACATGTCTGAGCTCAGTAAATTTAAACGGTCAGATTGTCATTCTGATAATAAAACTGGTGAGATTCTGGAATCAGGATTCAGACAAGAGGCTAAAGCTAAAACTTTGGTTGGAGAAAATTACATTGGTGCAAACAAAGTTAAAAGTAACGATAATTTATCACTACCTGTTATAAAATGTAGTGAACTTTTAAATCAAAGTGATATGATAGATTACAAGAAAAAGTTAGAAATTTATTCAAAGCTCAAACAAATGTCAGAAGCCAAAATGCAGGAAATAAGAAATTTGGAATTTGAAAAAGAAAAAGTTAAGATTGAATTATGGAATTTATATAATATTCATCTTAGAGCAGCAGAAATGGGAAGCAGGACAGAGGAAGCACTCTGTAATAAAAATGGAAATCCCAGTTATTCATATATCCCCGTACCTTCCCCGCCCCTCAATATTGAAACTTCAAACATTAAATCTTTGGAGCACTCGTCATCAGTTAACGTATCTTCAACCAATGTTGAAGAATCTGTTGATAAAGATTCATTGGAGAGACCTTGTGTAGTGTGCGGCCCTGCTATGCCTCATCAGAAGTTGTTATCCTATGACGCAAATAATAACAGTGCATTACATCAGCCACGACATCAGAATGCAAATCAGTTGAATACGTTTCACATGGATTTCATGCTACAACATCAACTGCTGTCAAATCAAGCGACTGTTCCAAAGCAGAGTGTTAACGACAAATCACAAAATGTAAAGAATGCTTCAAATAAAACTCAGCTGGAAAGTTCAATCGATGTTTCCGACAAACATTGGAAAGCATTGCATCATTTGCAAGCTCAACAAAAATACTTGCCTAACGATTTACTGTTTGACCAACAGCAGAAACAAAATTTTGACTCTCTTCAAAGACGAAAGCTCAACAGAGTAGCTTTATTATCAAGTTCTCCAACTAATTGCAATTCATCACAGAATTTGAATCATTGGGTAGGAGTCAATTCCGGAATATTTGATAACCAAATAGCCTCCCAACCTATTTCCCCACAAAATTCCTACTCAAAAATAGCAGGCGTTGTAGAGTGTAAATTATCTGATCAGTTGAATCTAAGTCAATTCATCAACCAGCAACAACAGTTCAGGCAGCTTCAGCAAAAAATCTTATCGCAGCATGACCACCACAAATCAATTACATATCAACAACGGTTACAACAACCAATTCAAAATGAAGAAATCAATGAAAGTAAAACAACGCAGTGCGGTACTTCAACAACTAACCAACAATTGAGCAGCAGCACGACGTTGATAAACGATCCACTGAACATGTGCTATACTGTTCATAATGAACTTTTGGAGCAGGCTTTCCACATTCCTACAAAGCACAACTCTCCTCAAATTCTCCTTCACCACCTTCCATCTAGCACTTCATCATCCAGGTACGATGATAATTTTAGAATTTCATCAAGTAAAGCTCAAAAGTCAGTGAATTCCTCCATAAACGCAGACAACGATTCGAATACTGAGTTTCATATTTTGCAGAAACAAGTAGATGTAGTCGACATAAAGCCTATTCTTGATCTGTCTAACAAATCAAACGTATCCATTTTTTCTAAAAATATGACCTCTCCTGCCAACAACTGCTCGAATGTCGAAGCATCTCCAGAGACTATAGCATTAGATTTGTCAAAAGAAAGCCACCTCACGCCTCTCAATTTGAAAATCAACATAAACAGCAACAAAGATGTTGAAGTAGCTTCACCAATTGAATCCTCAAAAGAAAATAATTCTACCAATAATAAAAGCCCATCTCCATCTGCAAACGTTAAGAACAAAGTTGATTCATTTGTTACAGCTGATACATCAAAACATTCCTTGAAACAAAAACTATCGACAGTTCTCGGAACAGGTGTTAGACGTCCTCTTTCGAGACCGAGATCTTGTGAGCCGGTTAGAGGCAACACTGACTCTTTTGAGAGATTTTTGAAGAGACAAACATCAATTTTGGCACAAACAACGATTTCATTAGTGACTACTCATACAGAAACTTGCTTATCTAGTTCTTGCACAACCACATTTTCTCCGTTACCCCATAATATTCAGCCGACTATCGCTATGGTGACCAATTCATCTATTAATGTTACAGAGGAAGATAAATTTATTTCGAAATCTGATGTTCTAGTAAAAAATGTTTCAACCCTTTCTAAAGCCGATATTTCAACAGCTAGTATATACCAGGCTATAAGCAATGTGGTAGATGCCGATCAAAGTGAAGTTTTATTGGATCTTTGCTTGAAAGATCAATCAGCATCACCTGCCACAATTGCAGCTCCCGTCACTAAAGAATCTATCATTAAAATTTTTGATTCTTCAGTAGCTTCTTCATCACCAGAAACTCAAAAAATTACTGCTGATAAGACATCTCTTGTCTCCATAAGTTCTGTTAGTACAGTAGTCACTGTATCCACAACCCCTGTCAAATTAGTGAGCAAGCCTGTGATAGATTTAACAGATGATTTGAATATTCCAACCACACACTGCCAGGAGAAGGTTGTCAGTCCTCAACTGGCATCCAGTACAGGTCAGTATGCAACTAACAATCAAAATAAACTTAAGAAATATTCATCACCTGCCCTTGCTAATGCAGTTGCTTTTGAAAACATTACCACTGATGTTGCCAGCAATGTTGTTCAACTAAAAGCTCGAAATGGCATTAGTAATTTAACATTAGAGCCAAAAAATAGACCTCAAGAAATGATTACCATGAAACCGATGAAAATGCAAGCTAGCCAGCAACAGCTTTTACAACAAAATTCGTTGCTGAGACTGACATCACCTCAACAATTACAACAGTCTAATGTAAACTTTGTAGAATTATTACAGCAGCAACAACAATCTCTACAGCAGTACGTACAACAACCACCCCAACAATATTTGCAGCAGCAAGCACAGCATATTATTCAGCAACAGCCGCAGTTTCCATACCAACAATCAATGTCATCCATGTCAAACCTTTCTCTCAATCAATCAACGCTGCCATACTTTTCCATGAAGCAACAACAACAACAGCAGCAGCAGCAGCAACAAACCATGCTTGCACAACCGAAAGCTAGAAGACAACACGAATCGCCCATCGTCATATCTCCTCCTCCGGCATTCCTCGATGGGACAACTTCCAACGCAACTCTCCCCGCCACTGTTCCTCCACACATTAAAAAGTTTGCATACTCGCAGAAGCCACACTTCCTCGATTACCCCCAGCAACAAATGCAAAAGCAAGTATTTCCTAACGTTAACTACCTTCAAAAGCCAATTCCCATAAGGAGCAGCGTTATTAATAATAACAGCAGTAACATTCCAAATAGCAACATTAATGCTTTCAAACAGAACATGTTGAATTTATTGAACGATAAACGTCTGTTGCAGCAGCAGCAAGTTATGCAACCAAACCAGTACTTAATGACCGAGCAGCAACATCTTCTACAGAAACATCAATTCTTACAACAACAACTAAATTTTTCTCAACAGCAACAACAACAACAGCAACAAACACAGCAACAACAGCAGCAACATATATGCTCGAACTGCTTTCAATCTGCCAAGTTTATCTGTTCCGCATGCAGGAAAGTATCGTACTGTTCCAGGGAGTGCCAAGTTGGTTCATTTCAATTGAAACACCAATTTGTTGTTGATGTGATGTGCTGGTGCGTGATGTGATGTGCTGGTGCGTGATGTGATTGATGTGGTGTAGTTTGGTCATGTATTATGTTATGGTGCGGTGCTAGGATATGGATCAATCACTATTGAGGAGTTGATGAACGCCTCAAAGTTTGTTTGTTCCAGATCACTCGAAACATGAATTCCCACAACTAAATATTGCAAGCATCTAATTTACCTTAATTATTTCTCTTTACTCTTTAATGAATATTATTTTATAAAAAAATTTCAGGCTGACTCTTGGGAGAAAGGTCACAAAAATGACTGCAAACCTATTTAATTATAATACAATCAATATTAATTAACATTATGAATATTAACAATGTTCACCTGCTAACACGTGTCTCAATAGCTTGTTGTGTCTATATTTAGTAATAAACAGTTTAAATTGTATTAAAAGTATGTATTATATTGTTTTGTATAAAACGTAATTGTCAGTATGTGTGCACAAATTGTTAATTAATTAATTAATTAATTTCATTCAACTAAAGGGTGGAGGTTTTTTGTAAATGTGTTATTGTTACATTCTTAAAACGATTGAAGCATTTTTATGTTGAATATTAACATTGTACATATTTTATACAGAGAAAATGTTTATAAATCGTTTAGTTGTTTGTAGAACTGTTCACGCGTAAGGGTAATGTGATGTTGTGTATATTCAGAAAAACAATTTCAGTTTTTGTTTAATTTTTCCTTTTTTATTACAAATTGATAAACTTGTTGAAATTTGATGAACTGTATTCGTAATTTCTTAGTTCACAATTTTTTTCATTATGTTGCTTGCATCTGTTCGTGTTGTT